CAAGCGCATGAATACCACTAAGTACAATTTAGGCAAAAATAGTTTTTATAAGGTACTCGGTGAAGACTTTTCAAACCAATCTGCATTCCGTCAACTGAGTATTGGACTTTCATAAGAGACAAAAGTAAAAAGTCGAAGTTGGTGCTGCAGACGCTGAGATATCTTGATTTTTTTTGTCTCTTGTACAGGTACAGTAGGTAACTTATAATAATAATAATGCTATGGAGGTTGGGTCTTTGTCTTCATCATTACATTTACTGTCTGTGGTCCATTTGTTGAGATAGTCATTAAAGCAGACCAAGTTACGGCGAAGAAGCTGTCCAATAGCCTGCCTATTGATTTTCACAGGAAATGAACAGAGACCGATGGCTGCTTGGGACTATGGAAAAACGTACAACAGAATAAGTTAAGACTGTGCGCAATGTACAACATTCATAATTAGTATTTATGGAACTTGAAAAGACACCAGTATGTTCCTTTAAGTTTCACTTGTGAGGCTACACGTAGCACGCAAAATAAAAACATATGCATCAGGTGGTGAAATAAACAGCACATCAGAGGGTTGTAGAGCTGAAGGCTGTAATTTGATATCAGCTCCGACATCTGATCAAAGCTAAAACACAAACTTCTCCCGGCGCTCGTGTATTGATTTGCCACATGCCAAGCACTCCGCCCTTTGGAACGTAGCCCTTGCCAAAGCAGTCCCTTTGAGGACTGCAGCACAGTCAGTCTAGCCTTCTGAAGTACACTGCTTGGCAAATCAACCGCGCCACAATCCAGGGTCACAGCCTTGATTGGGATTCACAGGGCGTAGGCAGGCGAGGGGAAATGCACTCCACATTAATTAACACCTGGCCTCATTATCTGTCCCATGTGGCAGAGTCCCACTGGGATAAATTTAACACCACTTTATTATCATGGGGGATGGTGGTGGTCTTTCATGTGTATGTGTGCATTTCATTTTATTGTGTCAGTCTGTGTGTGTTTATGTATGAGAGTGATAGGGATGTGTGTATTTGTTGTTTCTGTGTGTATGTTTATTCATCTGTGTGCATACCTCTACATTTTCCTGTGTAATTATACTGTGTGGCTGCACGTTTCTGCGTGTGTGAGCCGGGGTGTGTGTGGTATTAGATTCCCTCTGATGTCAGGATTCAATAAAAAGCTTTAACATTGCCATAATGAGAGGATGTTTAATTCTCTTTGGTAGATTTCTCTCGCTTAGCAGCACTCTGTATTCCAAAGCAGCCACTGGGTAAACTGCCAGCTTGTGTGGTAAAAATTAATATCCCTTCTTGTCAAGATACTTTAGACAGAATATTTTACACGGGTAGATGTTTGTGTGTACAACAAAAACAGAAACACATTTTTGATAAAATTACTCTACCCCATCTGACAAGATTCATATGCTGTAAAACATATAAAGTGTCTAGTATTTGATTTGATCATACTGTGCTGTCTTGGGGGAATTTCGTCTATCATGATTAAATATTTCAGCCATCTTTATTCTTATGCAGTAGGCTACATATGCATAGACGTCAGTCTAGTCCCCCATTCATGTTCACCTTGTCATGTGTTTATGTCATATACACAGAAAATATGAGGTTTAAAACTTGGCACAATAAATGCACTAAAGGATATAAAGGTACACATTTTTGTGTCTGACCATTTCAGTCGAGGACTTTAAATACGGTGCAGATGTGTGCCGAATGAAACCTTTAATAGTTAACAATAGGTTGGTTTTATGTATGGAAGATTTCTTCAGATCTACATTCCCACACAAACATATTAAGTGTTTGAAGGTCAGAATGCAGTAAACACACAGCATACTTAGCTTAGCCTAGCTTTTAAACTTTTTAATTATAGGT